TTTGCTTCTTGTCTTCTCAAAATTCACAGCTTGACTTTCTTGTTTCCATAGAAACTAAATCAGCGTTCACGTGCGGGGTCTTCGTCGTTTTGCGGCTTCTGGACGTGGAGCGGCTTGTCAATAACTACGGACTTGATTAATCTCCACTGTGATAATTCGTAATTATTTCGTTTACGAGAAAAATTTTAAACCAAGACCCGGTGTACGGAGGGCGTTAATTTAATCGATCATCTGATCAAATTCAACCAATCAGATGCGCAGATTCAGGGGTTAATCTCACATTCAATTTTGATTCGAATTCAATATTTAATTCATCTACTATAAACTAGATCTGTTTTCCAAGCAGTAGTTTAATAAAATATTTTTCCCTCTTTTGTACACCTAGCTGTAATAAGTGGTAAATGAATAGATAATCGAGACTCTATAATGAAGTTCTGTTAAGAGCAATCGAAACGTGATTTTTAACAATTTAAAACTGACCGAAACACTTGTAACTATCATCGTTGATCGTTGATTGATAATTTTTTTCGTTAAAGTTTTTAACTTAATGTAACAAAAAGTAGTCGAAAATTATTTAGATACAATTTCTCTCCCTCTGAAGGACAATTCGATAAACAAATCCAGAGAAGTCGATTCTGCAAATATTTTGACTGATTTGCCGACGATAATATACAAACATCAAAATAAAAACTGAAGAAGATTATTCAACTACAAGTAACTATTTTTACAAAAGGTAAAAAAATCATGTGAACAGAAATCTGGGCTTCAAAAAAATTTCATCAAGGCTCTTAAATTTTTTTCTGAATATTTCTATTTTCAAGTCTTCGGTTAACGGACTTAGATACCTAAAGAAAATATATTAAAAAAAAGGTGTCTAAAATTCTCAAAAAATTCAAGGATTCTGGAAAAACGGTTAGAATGATCGAAGAATCCCAAAATCTACAAGAACATGTATTTAGTTAAAATTCGAAAATAGTCGAAAATGAGTCAAAACTTGCATGTGGTGTAAAATTTCTTGTTGAAAAAAAGTAGTCTGAAAATTCTCAAAAAATTCTGGGTTGTAGATTTCGACGTGCTGATTCTATAAATGTAGTGTGTTTGTGGTCAGGGAACAATATTTTCGAAATATTCGGTGTGAAATTCGAACTTTCTGAATTTTCCAAAAATTGCTATATTTCAATGGGTCATTCTGAACAAATGGTTAGAGTGAGCGAAGTAATGAGGCCTGAAGTGAGTTCTATAAAAATGTATTTAGTTAAATTTTGAGAATGGTCGAAAATGGGTCGAAATTTGCATAGTAAGTAATCTTTATTGTGCCAAAAAAAACAAAAGTTTTCACACTCGTCAAAATGCCAAAAAACTCCAAAAGAATAAAAATACATTATGTACAAGATACCTACATAATATACAACATACTTATACGTTATGTACAAAGATGCACAAAAATGCTAAAACATATAATCCAAGTATTCGTTGAAACCATAAAAGCTATTTCCAATTAAAAAAGATTGAACTAACTTTAGAAATTGACTGGATGGAAAATTACGGTAACTATTAGGCAATTTATTAAAAAATATTATACAGAAATAGTTTGTGGCATTCCCAAAACGGGAAATCCTAAATTTTTCAACTGAGAGATCAGTGGTCCTTGTATTATACTCATGAAAAGAATTTAAGGTAGGAAATGAGTTAATGTCATGCATTACATATTTAAGGCAATAATAAATATGTAAATATATTAAGGTAAAATCAAAATGTTTAAAAATTTAAAGTAGGGCCTACAATCATCTCGATATCCAGTACTACATAATACATGGTGTAAAATTTCTTTCTGAAAGAAGTAGTCAAAAATTCTCAAAAAATTCTGGAGTGAAGATCTCGACATGCTGATTCCATTAATATAGCGTGTTTGTGGTCACGGAACAATATTTGCGAAAAATTGCTATATTTTAATTTGCGATTCTGGACAAACAGTTAGAATGAGAGAAGAAATGAGGCCGGAAGGGAGTTCTGCGGCCCGAAATCTACAAGAAAATATATTTAGTTAAATTTCGAAAATGGTCGAAAATGTGTCGAAATTTGCATAATAATTTCTTCTTTAAAGAAAAATTCCTAAAAAAATTCTGAGATGTAGTTCTCAATGTGTTGATTCCACAAATATAGCAATATTTTCGAAAAATTCGGGGTGAAATTTGAATTTTTTGCAGTTTCTAAAAATTGCCATAGTTCAATGGGCAATTCTGGAAAAACGGTCAGAGTGATCAAACAAATGTGACCGCAAGTGACTTCTGCGGCCCGAAATCCATAAAAAAATGTATTTAGTAAAATTTCGAAAATGGTCGAAAATGGGTCAAAATTTACACGAGTGGGTTATACATAGAGTAAATTTTTTTTTAAAAGGTTATCTAAAAATTTTCAAAAAATTCTGGGATGTAGATTTCAACGTTCTGATTTCATAAATATAGCGTTTTGTTATCACGGAAGAATATTTTCGAAACATTCGGTGTGAAATTCGAATTTTTTTAATTTTCGAAAATTTTTTATATTTCAATGGGCGATTCTGGTCAAACAGTTAGAATGCGAGAAGAAATGAGGCCGGAAGGGAGTTCTGCGGCCCGAAATCTACAAGAAAATATATTTAGTTAAATTTCGAAAATGGTCGAAAATGTGTCAAAATTTGCACGAGTGGGTTATACATAGAGTAAAATTTCCTTTTTAAAAAGGTTATCTAAAGATTTTCAAAAAATTCTGGGATGTAGAATTCAACGTTCTGATTTCATAAATGTAGCGTTTTGTCATCACGGAAGAATATTTTCGAAATATTCGGTGTGAAATTCGAGTTTTTTTAATTTTCGAAAAATTGCTATATTTCAATGGGTGATTCTGGACAAACAGTTAGAATGAGAGAAGAAATGAGGCCGGAAGGGAGTTCTGCCGCCCCAAATCTACAAGAAAATATATTTAATTAAATTTCGAAAATGGTCGAAAATGGGTCGAAATTTGCATAATAATTTCTTCTTTGAAAAAATTGTCTAAAAATTCTTAAAAAATTCTGAGATGTAGATCTCAGTGTGGTGCTGATTCCACAAATATAGCAATATTTTCGAAAAATTCGGGGTGAAATCAGAATTTTTTAAAGTTTCTAAAAATTGTCATAGTTCAATGGGCAATTCTGGAAAAACGGTCAGGGTGATTGAACAAATGTGGCCGCAAGTGACTTCTGCGGCCCGAAATCCACAAGAAAATGTATTTAGTTAAATTTCGAAAATGGTCGAAAATGGGACAAAATTTGCACGAGTGGGTTATACACAGAGTAAAATTTCCTTTTTAAAAAAGTTATCTAAATATTTTCAAAAAATTCTGGTATGTAGATTTCAACGTTCTGATTTCATAAATATAGCGTTTTGTCAACACGGAAGAATATTTTCGAAATATTCGATGTGAAATTCGAATTTTTTTAATTTTCAAAAAATTGCGATATTTCAATGCTCGATTCTGGAAAATCGGTTACAGTGATCGAACAAATGAGGCCGGAAGTGACTTCTGCGGCCCGAAATCAACAACAAAATGTATTTAGTTAAATTTCGAAAATGGTCGAAAATAGATAAAATTTCGTTGTTAAAAAGTTGTCAAAAAATTCTCAAAAAATTCTGGGTTGTGGATCTCGACGTGTTGATTCCATAAATATACCAGGTTTGTGGTCACGGAACAATATTTTCGAAATAGTCGGTGTGAAATTCAGTTTTTTTGAATTTGCGAAAAATTCTGATATTTCAATGGGCGATTCTGGAAAACGGTTAGAGTGATCAAAGAAATGAAATACTCCAATGCTCAGAAGACTATAGGAAATAAATAAAATGTTGAAAACCAGACTACGCTCTCTTTGTCCGTTCAAAAGTTGGACCGTCAAACTCACAATTTTTTTTTTTGAGTTTTGGTTAAAGGAGGATTTCGTTTAAAATTGTAAAAATTTGCCAAAAACGCTTTCAGCTAGGCAAAATTGGTGTAAAAATTAGTATTTTTTGAGTAATTTTTTCGCATCTATTCCTGTCAAAATTTTTGAATTTAGGCCATATTTAGGCTAAACGTACCTCGATTTATCTGAAAATAAGTTCTATCCCCAATTCGAGCCTCTTGAATAAGAATCTGGGACAAACAAAATTGTAGACACGCTCCCAATTTTTTTTTTTAATATTAAATATTAGGGACACCCGAAAATGACACCGTCCGATGAATATTTACGCAGATTGTAAATGGGGAAGGATTTCAACCTGAAGATTAGTAGAGTGGGATTAGAAAATCTTAAGAAATCGAATGGTAAATACGTTCTTTTTTTCGGTTAAAGAATTATGGTACTTCAAACAATTTGATTTTAGAACTTCGTTTAAAATACTGGAAATTTCCAGTAACCTAAAACGCACCCAGCTTGGCAAAATTATTCTAGAAACTTAATTACAGGCAGACTGAAGCCTGTTTATTTTTTGAGCAATTTTTCCGGTCCCGGTCAAAATTTTCGAATTTATTATATATGGAGCTATCTCGGCAAAACGTACCTCGATTTATCTGAAAATTACTCATATCCCTAATTTGAACTTCATAAATAAGAATCTGAGGTCAAAAAAATTGTAGAAGGGCTCCCAACGTTTTTTCAATTTTTGGCACGGGCAAGGACTTCAGCCGGAAAATTAGCCAACGCGAGTAGAAAACTTGAAGAAATCGAATGATAAAATAAATAATCAAAAGGTATGGTCCGTCAAACCCACAATTTGTTTTTTTGAGTTTTAGTTAAAAAAGGATTTTGTACAAAGGAGTGAAAATTTTCAACAACTAATGCCAACAACGCAATTTCTTATTCAGGAAGGTCAAACTGTCCGACAAATATTTTTGTCAAGGTGACTTTACTTTTAAATTTCATATTGTTAAACAAAAACTTTTGTATAAAACTGCGACTTTTTAAAATATGTATTAATTTTTAATTATTTGCAATCTTGACTGCCAAAATTCCTTTTCTATAAGTTTTCACCATGTTCGCCCTCTTGAACTCCTACAACTCGAAACTTAAACAGCCCTGATCATCTTCTTGTCGCGCAAATTCACCTGAATATAAATAAATCAGCAACAATCGCGTTGCAAAAATCAAGAAGCCTATTAAGTTTTGGACCTTAAACAACACCCATCTAGAAACCCTTCACCACAAAGCTCCCACTTACGATCAAAAAACCGTTCGTTATAATTATGCTGTACAGAAGCCAGGAAAAAGTGACCATGGTGCCCATCAGAGACATAACCAAAGGAATTTCAGATGCGTCTTTCTGCGCAATAACTTTTTTCTGAAATTTGTCTAGATACAGAAGTGTGGTTTGACCCTAGCTATATTTACCAAATTGAGAAGTGGTACCGCTGATAGAAAAAGCATTAACATCGTCATGATTAGTCCATACCGAAATTTGATCAAAGCCGGGTCCTCCCATTCGCAGTACCCCCATAGAATCGCCACCGTGCCCATGCTATAGGACAAGGGTTGAAGTATTTCGTTCCACTTATCTTGCGAATGGACGATGTAAAAAATACAGAAAATCGAATTCAGTACTGCCGACTCAAAATTGACTTGTAACATAACGTCGTCTCCTAGCACTTTAGCGTACCTTAAGGAACCCAAAGCTCTGAAAATGATTTCGTTTTCTGAGATGCTGCTAAGATTTCATTGATCTTGTTACGTTCAAACAAACAACTACCACCTAAAGACTTACACGTAACTTACAACATTAGACCTCCAACGAAAGGTAGCGAACTAATGCGTTCAGTACCATTTTTTCGTATGTCAAGACAAACCAGCACTCCGGAAAAAAGACGAGCTATTGTTAAATGTCCTGCTATTATTCCAATCGTAGTTTTGTGCGATTCCAGTGTTTTCGATGCGTGTGCTATTACTTTTTGGATGGTTTCTTTAAAAGTTTGCAGCATTGTGGATATGGAGTCCAGAAAATCGATTACAGGGCTTCTAAAAATGACGACTACGGTCGGTGAGAAGTTTCACGAAATTTGCGTTACCTAGAGCTAGAATGGCGTACCAAATGACCAAAATCATTGTACTTGTTAGTAGGCAAAAGTAATTTTGTGTAGTTTCATGTTTGTGACGTTCTGGTGACGCTCTTGTCAAAAATGACAACCTAGTAGTCATAGATATTCTACTTTTTTAAATTTTTTAGTTAACGAATTTCGTAGCATAATCTTGTTGTTGTTTTTTCCGTTTGTCTGAATATTAATAAGGGCATCATTTATCAGTCTTTTACAAGAGGCTCAGGCATCACGAATATTACTGTAATACACTCGAACGACAATGACACTCGACGTTAATTAAATTATGAACAGGAGGAATATCCACGGTAAACACAATATTGATGAACAATCTCGAGTGCATAGAAGAGGATCAACATATGTCCTATTAAAATATTAAAATGAAGTACTGATGCAAACACGAATTTAGCAATTTAAATATTGGACGATATAAAGTTAATTAAATTCGTATACAGTTAATAAAGTCATAAAGGTATCCCAAGCTGCATATCGCCTGATAACAAAGCATCGGTCAGGCACGCGTTTCTGATTACTCATCCTTTATCAGCCTTCCACACTCTATTCATTATTAAATCGAACAAAGTTATAACTGGAAAAAGGCTCAATCATGCCAAAAGTAAATAATAATAAGCTCTAAGGATAATGGCGTACACGGCTCATTAGGGATGTTGGGGAGTGAATTTTATTTTCAAAGGAGCTTTTCGATATTTTCGGTGACGGGAAGCGGTTTTATCAGTCTGGCTGACAGGAGGAAATATTTTTTTATTAATATTATTTGCGCACCTAACAGCTGATGAAATAAACATGCTTATATTATATTTTAGTGTCAACTGTCAATTGATGTGGATATTACTGCAGCGAGCTGACAGGAATGATGAATTTGCCTGGGATGTGCTACTTGTAAATCTACAGCGTGTTTTCAAAATTGATACGAGCGAGTCTACCTCAAGTTTAAATTAAAAACTGATCGCGAAAATAAAACTATAAAGAAATCTTGTTTTCAGGCAATGTAAGGTAACCCTACCGGGACAAGGACGAATTTTGCTATATTAGGCAGCACACAATACACATTCGGGTTACTACGACGAGTTAAAGTATCTATTTTATTTTTTTTTAAGTTTTTAATTTTTACAATTTTTTAATGTTTTACAGAAATTATTTATCGTTTCAACTCGTGTCCACGTAAACTTTGTACCAGTTGTATCTAACCTTCAGAATTTTTGAATATTGATGAAGTTTTCCGATTAAAGAATAACGATTCTCGATCAGTTTGTACAAAACGCTATTATTTTATTTACGTCCTTTTGATGTGTTCTGTTAACACAAAAAGGTGTCAATATTTTTTTTGTCTACACCTACTGACCTGCCAGCCAATCGCCAACGCTTTTATTTATTTTTTAAACGCTTACATGCATGCATTATTGTCGTCTAACATAGTCCTTTTTACATTTTCTTTCTCATTTAAAACTTTCGTTGGTATTTTGTTTGTTTTTTATTGTATTCAGTAATCCTTAAACACAACGCACGACAAAATGTAAGAATTTTTGTAAATTTACAAATACAATAATATTTTAAAATAGATAAAATTTCACTTTTAGTTAAAAAAACATACACAGATCGGAAGTCGGATCAGATCAATTCAGGTCAAGTCCAGTCAGTTCAGGTCAAGTCAAGTCTGGTAAGGTCAGGTCAGATCAGGTTAGGCCAAGTTAGTTTAGGTCAGCTCAGGTCGTCTGTGACAGTGTTACGTTTACTCCAAACAGACGGACTCATAACCGTGGCGTACGCAGATGATATAGTACTAATGATCGTCGCCAAAAATTAAGATCAACTGATGAAGAAGGCGATCAAAAGCCTTAAGAAGTTGAAAGAACGGTTGAACGACAGAGTTGGAAATTTCTTATGAAAAATCGGAAGCCGTATTTTTGATTGATCGTGAATTTTAAAATAAGGCAAATGGAAATTATGCCAAAGGATAAGTTTAAATACCTAGGAAAAATACTAGAGGTAAGGTTAAGTTTTGGTACCGCATATCGACAGTGTCACAGAAAAAGCTGGTAAGACATTGACGGCAGAAATTAGCATATACTGCCAAGAAGACCTTGACAATCCAGAACTTTCTTTCAATGCCGCCAATGCCAGTCGGTGGAAATAAGAAGAGAAATAGGGGAAAAAGGGCAAACACGATAATGGTGATGATGATGATGATGATGCAGACAGAAGATCAATATAAAAAAAAAGGATAATGGAAAAGTTTTTGAAGAAAAAACGAAGCCAGGAGGCGGATTGAATGAGAGAAAAGAGGGAGAAGTTGAAGAAACTAAGACGACTCTCCTCCAAAGTACTCCGAGGCAATTCCAAAGGAGGCCGGGAAGACGAGGTGGGATTTTTAATACCGTCCCCGAGGAGTTCCACACTCCCTATGACCACGGAATGGTCCTGGGGGTACGCAAATGTATTTTCCCCTTCTCCTAAAAAAAGTTATGTCAACTCAAGTCAGGTCAGAGAATTCATCGTCATAAAACTAGGTAGACAAAGACGACGATTTTCACTTCATTCGCAATCATTAGACTATTGGATACTTTGTGGAATAGTTCAAGGCTCGGACAATCCTTGTTAATAATATTCGACAATGCTTTTTAATAAGTCTATAAACAGAGTTCCAACAGAATCATGGACTAAACATCAGATTCTTCAATGGTTGGAACTCCACAGGATTACAAATGCTTCAAACCGCTATATGGCATCTTGTACCATTGCAGAGTTATATTCTCTTTAAATCTGAAGAAAGGTTAGACGTGAGTACCACTGACTCAACTGTATACCACCGTCTAGCGTCGTATTTCAAACGACATCTTTCAAAATTTTAATCAAATTTATTAGTAGTTTGGTTATGGCACTTCTTGAAACTTGACAATTTTGTATTTTTTGCAAAAATGGAGAAAGAGCAGTATAGGTTTGTGATTCTATTTTTTTTATGGGAAAATTTGTGAAAAAGTCAAAATTAATTTGCAGGCAGTTAATAAGGACCAAGCACCTTCAATGACTACCATCAGATATTGGTTCAACGAATTCAAACGTGGTAGAACATCCGTTTTAGATTAAGAGCGTCCAGGTCGTCTGACTGAGGTAACTATTATGGAAATGGTCAACAAAATCCACGATATCGTCTTTTTTTTGAGATTCACATGGCATCGTTTTCACAAACTATTTGAAAACTGGCAGGACAATCACGGGGCAGTACTATACGAGCCCATTTGTCAAAAAAGACCTGTTTCACCATGGCTCACGCCTGCAATTGTTACAACAAAACTGGTTGAATTACGGTATGAATTACTGCCACAGCCTCCGCATTCGCCAGATTTAGCACCATGCGACTTTTATCTATTTCCAAATCTGAAGAAATGGCTTTAACGAAGACGGTTTATTTCAAACGGCGACGTAATCAATGAAACTGAAGCTTATTTTACAGAATTTGATAAGTCGTATTTTTTATTTTTTAAGAGACTAAAAAAAGTTCGGTGGAGGGAGTGTAAAGAGTTAAAAGGAAATTATATTGAGAAATAAACACACAAAATAAAAGCCCAACCCACCCGCCCTCTCTTTTCTTAGAGGGTATCTCATTTGTCAAAATCACTTTTCTTAGCAGGTACTAGCCCCGCCCACCCACCCCTCTTTTTTTTTGGAAGGTATGTCGTTTGCCAAAATCACTCTTATTTTAGCAGGAACTAGACCCATCCACGCACTCTATCTTTTCAGAGGGTATGTCAATTGCCAAAATCAGTTTTATCTTAGCAAGTACTAGCCCCACCCACCCGCCCTCTGTTTTCTTGGAAGGTATGTGATATACCAAAATCAGTTTTATCTTAGCAAGTACTATTTAATTATTGTTTAATGATTTATTTTGCCATTTCAATATATAACATAGTACTTGCTAAGATAAGACTGATTTTGGCAAATCACATACCTTCCAAGAAAACAGAGGGCGGGTGGGCGGGGCTAGTACTTGCTAATGTAAGAGGGATTTTGGCAAATAACATATCTTCTAAGAAAATAGAGGGTGGGTGGGCGGGGCTAGTATTTACTAAAAAAAAAACTGATTTTAGCAAATAACATACCTCCTAAGAAAAAGAGAGAGGGTGGCGTGGCTAATACTTGCTGAAATAAGACAATTTCTGGCAAATGACATACTCTTTAAGAAAATAGAGGGTGGGTGGGTGGGCGGGGCTAGTATTTTATAAGATAAATCTGCGATTAATACCTACTCTATAAAACTAGAAACTCAATGTTTTTCTCTGAAATAAAGCCATTTGGAACGGTTTCGAATTTTTTGGAAATTTTGGGGATTTTCCCCGCAGTTCTCAGTTATTTGAAGACAAATTGTCAAAAATCTTTTAGATTCGTAATGTGCGAAAAATTATCTATAAGCCAACTGTTTTCTGTTGAGTCTGATCGTCTTTTAACTGTTTCAGACAAAAAATTTTTGGAAATTAGGAAAAACGTTTCTCATTTTTCTCACTAATTTTCGGAAATAGTTGAAAAATAGTCGAAAATATCAAAAGTGCGAAAATCAGTTTTATGTTATCAAATACTAGCCCCATCCACCCACCCTCTCTTTTCTTCGAGGGTATGTCATTTGCCAACATCAGCCTTATCTTAGCAGGTACTAGTCTCGCCCACCCACCCTCTTTTTTCAGAGGGTATGACATTTGCCAAAATCAGTTTTATCTTAGCAAGTACTGATGACTAACTTTGACAAAAAATGATCCAAATTTGGAAACATTACGAGCTTACTTATTGTCTTCCCAGTTTAAAGTGGTTTTTATGATAGGTCCATTGTGACGAAGTTGATGATGCGGACAATGGAGTAAATACCTAGCCATACATAAGAAAGTTTCTTGCAGGGCCGTACTTTGTTATCCATCGTGGGGTAATAGTGAGGTGATTATGTTGATTATCTTGTCATAAAAACCACTTTAAACTGGGAAGACAATATATGCACAAAGCAGGAATTTTGAATATCTTCTCTAGTGTTTAGTTGGTTATGCTTTAATGGATTTTTCTTTTGTT